ATAATTAAAAAAAAAAAAAAAAACTATGAAAAAAAATATTTTCTTCCATCATTAATAAAAGAAATTGGAAAAAAAGAATATTGGCGTTTTTTGGAATAGGATATATATATAAAAAAACATTTATATATATATATATATACATATATATATATATACATACATACATACATGGCCCCGACCACATGCTGGAGAGATCAAGGGAGATCTGCGCCTGGGATCATGTTGAGATCATGGGCAGAGAACATTGGAAAATTCATGTGAAACTTAAGGAATCAGCACATATGCTGAGCCATAATCTCCTAAGGCCGACCAAGCATAGAAATAAATAATGAACCAGTAATAGAGGTGCCAGAGAAAGCAATGTGTTGCCAGACAACACTGCAGAGACAGTGACCTTGAGCAAGTAAACATTTTCGCCATTTAGAATTCAAGATAGAAATTCACTATCCCAGCTGAATGTTGCAATAGTCAATGAGGAATCCCTCAACAGCAGATTTCAAGAATGCATCAATGCAGGAGGACATATCTGCAGGACGTAATTTTAAAAATGAAAATTCCATCATTGTTCTTAAATGGCATGTTTTAAGATTTCAATTATGAATAAAAGTATTTTTCTTCCATCAGTCTTGGTTTTATTAGTTGTTAAAAGTTCCGTTTTTTGGTCACCATATGTATATATATACATATATATATATATATATATATATATATATATATATATATATATATATATATTAGTAGTACCAGAGTCTACCAGTCTAATAAAATTGTACTGTGCATGAAATCAGTCGTGCTACCATTGAGGGATAATATATTTTCGTGTGTATGTAATAACTTTTGTATATTAAATCAAACTATTTTATTAACACCAGCACTCAATGTACATCTTATATATATACATATATTATATATATATACATATATATATATATATATATATATATATATATACATATATACATATACATATATATATATATACATATATACATATATATATATATATATACATATACATATATACATATACATATACATATATACATATATACATATATACATATTACAATAAACGTGCAATCAATTTACAAATACATGAATTATTCATACAAAACTATTAAAGAGTTGTGTGAAGTTTTATTGGCAAGACATCCATCTTGCAAACGATTCCAAATAGTACACAAAAACAACTTTAAATCGTTAACTATGAGTTACAGTCCTTGTTTATATAAATTTCTGCCGTATTAGTTGTTATTTTTTACTACTGCAAGCTTTCGTCTGTTCCTACGAACATCATCAGGTATATAATAGATGTTGTTCTTGGTTTTTCTCTTAGTAATAAGGGGACATCAGAAAATATATAATATTGTATCCGAAATGCTATTAAAAATGGGTTATTGTGGTTTTGAACGCGTAAAACAACGCTGATTTTGATTTTAATTTTTTTAAAATGTCTGCGTCTATACCAAATATGGTAATGAACAAATGTTTTTTACTAGTAAATTTTTTTACTGTCAAAGTGGCAGACTTATATTGTTCAATAATTACAATAATGTCGCACTTATTAATAAAAGTTGTTATACATATATATATATACATATATATACATATATATATATATATATACATATATATATATATATATACATATATATATATACATATATATATATATATATATATATACATATATATATATATATACATATCAGTTTAGTGAAGCAGTTGCTGTCTGAAATAAATTATTACCGAACTCTTAATGATATATTGAGCTTTTCCTTTGATGTTTATCATATTCCTCTATATTTTTATACATTGATCTCTCTTCATAGATCTATCTTTTTAATATTTTATATCAAAAAGATCTACTTGGATTATCCTTACCACTTACGGATTTTATATTAAGATATATATATGTCATTTAGCTGATTGATGTTACTTTCAGAATCCCGACTCTAGAGTTTCGTAAATGGACTATCCGGGAATCACTCCGTCCCCTCCTCAGGGAATAATTTTCGATGGCATGAAGAGTAACTATATTTAACTTCAGTCTAAAGTAAAATCCGGATTAAAGGATTGAGATGCGGATTAAAGAAAATTCTTCCATTAGTTCTGTGGTTGTCTGTGGAATGTACCAGTTTTCCGCCGTGAGGACTGACAGAACACTAAAGCATAACAACCAGTTCACCAACTATCGCATGACAGGCGCATCTTACTTTTTCACGGAGTGCATTTATGTTCTCCAATTCCAACAGATATTCTTGTAATGAAATTTGGTCTGACTTCGAACCAAAAAGAAAGATTTTTGTACAAGTTGAAGACAAAGTTTCCAACTATGCACCCACGCAGATACGGCATCAAAATGTATAAAAAAAATAAATAAATAAATAAAGCCTTCCCGTCATTATTCTTTCCTTCATTTTCATTTTTTCAGTCCTGTATCTCCATTTTGTCACTAATGGCTGAATGTTGTTCAGCACACACGTCAAGAAAATGTAGGCTACAAAAGAAAAAAAAAGATAGATACGACCAGACTGAAATAAGTAGATAGATAGATAGATAGATAATGAATGAATAGATAGATAGATAAGATGGTCAGACTGAAATAAGCAGATAGAAAAAAAAGATAGATGAATAGATGAATAGATCAGACTGAAATAAGCAGAAACCAGATAGATGATGAGAATGAATAGATAGATGAAGAGATAGATGAAATGGGGAAATGATAGATAGATGAATCAGACTGAAATAAGCAGATGGATGGAGATAGATAGATAGATGACTGAAATAAGCAGATGGATAGATGGATGGGGATGGATGGATGGATAGATAGATCAGACTGAAAATGACGGATGGAATGGATGGGGATGATAGATGGACTGAAATAAAGCAGATAGATGGATGATGAGATAGATAGATAGATAGATGGATCAGACTGAAATAGATGAGATGGATAGAGATAGATGAATGAATAGATGGATCAGACTGAAATAAGCAGATGGATGGAGATAGATGAGAGATAGATGAATGATAGATGAAATGAATGAAATAGATGAGATAGATAGATGAATGAATAGACAGATCGATCAGACTGAAATAAGCAGATAATGAATGGATAGATGGATAGATGAAATGGATGGGGATAAGATGATAGATGAATGGATGAAATAGATGGATGGATAGATGAATATGGAAATGGATAGGATGGATAGATGGATGGATAGGGATAGATGGATGAATCAGACTGAAATAAGCAGATGTAAGATAGATGGATAGAATGGATAGATGGATGGATGAATGGATGGAATAAAGATAGATAGATGGATGGATGGGGAGATAGATGGATGGATCAGACTGGAATAAGCGGATGATGGGGAATAGATGGAGATAGATGGATGGATGGATGGACTGGATGCAGATGGATGGATGGATAGGACAGATAATGAGCAGATGGATGGATGATGGATAGATGGATCAGACTGAAAAATAAGCAGATGAATGGATGGATGGATGGATGATGAATGAATGAATGAATGAACAGATAGATCAGACTGAAAATAAGATGGAGATATAGATGGATGAATAGATAGATCAGACTGAAATAAGCAGATGAATGGATAGATAGATAGATGAATGAAATAAACAGATAGATGAGATAGATGGAGATGAATAGATCAGACTGAAATAAACCAGATAGATAGATGGGGATGGAATGGGCAGATAGATAGATATGGATAGATCAGACTGAAATAAGCAGATGGATGAATGGATGGAAATGAATGGATGGGGATGGATGGATGATAGATGGATAAATCAGACTGAAATAAGCAGATGGATAGATGAATGAATGGATATGGATCAGACTGAAATAAGCAGATGATGGGGATGGATGAAGGATAGATGACTGGGAAAGACTGATGGAAATAGATGGATCGGACTGAAATGAATGGATGGATGGATCGGACTGAAATAAGCGGATGAAATAAGGAGATGGATGGATGGATCGGACTGAAATAAGCGGATGGATGGATGGATCGGACTGAAATAAATGGATGGATAGATGATAGATGGAATGATGAATAGATGGATAGGAGATAGATGATCGGATGGATAGATAAATGAAGACTGAAAATAAGCAGATGGATGGATAGATGGATGGATAGATGGATGAAGATAGATAGATAGATCAGACTGAAATAAGCAGATAGATAGATAGATAGATAGATAGATCAGACTGAGAATAAGCCAGATGGAATGGATCAGACTGAAATAAGATGGAGATAGATGGATGGATCAGACTGGAAATAAGCAGATAGATAGATGGAATAATAAGCAGATGGTTGGAAACTTAAGATGGATAGATTATGGATGTGGGGATTTATGGATATACAATAGATTAGATTTATAGATGGGGATAGATGGGTCGGACTTAAGGTAAGATAATGAATGATTAAACTGAAATTGATTTTGATAGACAGAAATGGATAGATGTTAATAAAAAATTCAAATTTATGGGTATTGTTTAAGATATACGAACAAAACGATAAACTTTTAAGAGTTTAATAACAGTTAAACTTTCGTTTTGAACGAAAAATATTGTTTTTCAGGATGCTTTGAAAAAGCGATAATAACTTTCAGGGACGATAATAATTGGACGTGTAATTATTGGGCCATACAAACCATACGCCACCCTCTCACACTTATGTCCTACCAAGCGTAACATAAAAAATTTATGTGTATAATAAAAATGAAGATAAACTAAGATCAGCAGAGGGTTGTCTGAATAAATGTGTTTTTAAAAGAATGTTAGGAATGTGATGATACACAAAACTCCTCATGCGTTGGTGTCGTCGCTATCATTATCAACATCATCAACAACAACAACAGAAATATTTTTATTATAGTAATAATAATAACAACAACACAACAATAACAACAACGATCACAACGAAGATCAGCAACTACTCTAAACTGAAGATATCCAGAATGTGGAAAATACCGGAGAAAAATGTTAAAGTCATCCCGGTAATGATTGGGGCACTCGACTCTATCCCATTGTGAAGTTTAAAGGATATGCCAACCAACGTGGTGTAACACAACAGACATTGTGAACGCTACAGAAATCTATCTTATTGGGTACAGCAAGAAGCATGCTTTGAAAAGTAATGTGTGTCTGAGGCCCTTCTTGTGGCAGGCAGTACCTTCCCCATTACTCAAGATAACATTATCATGATACATTCAAAAAATAATACTAACTACCACCATTATTTATATAATCTTTCCTCTGACGAAATATCGTACAAACCACCAAGTCTTGTGGCCGAGGGTGACAATCTTACAGTGTTATGGAATTTCACTATAGATAACAATCGTGCTAAAAGTCAATAAGTGCTCTATCTTTTTATAAAACATTCCAGTAACTGCAGAAAAAAAAAGAAGAAAAAACACTAGTATTCGCAAAACAGCCAAAACTTAAAAAAATAAAAGAACCTCGAAATAGAAACTGCAACAATGTGTCATTTTACAACCGCTACTTGGAATAGAACACTGAGTGATGATACATGAATTAAAAGATCCCAGGATTATCCTGCTAAGTAAGATACAAAATTTAAAAAAAAAAAAAAAAAAAACCTGTTCGTGTGCATTTATTTGTACGCCAACGTCGTTCAAGGTCTGGCATAAGATCGAATTTAATGTGGGATTCGGCAGCTGTCTGAAAATTGATCAAGTGCTCTCGGCAATTTCTCCGCCGGGGGACGCCTGGTAATGACTCCCAGCCCCTCTCTTGATGGAGAGAGAATGCCTGAGGGGATGACCCCCTGAGGCTCGAATCTAATATTCATTTACCTCCCAGTCTGGCTGGGTCAGGAAAAGAGCAGCACTGCGAATATAGTCAGAAGACAAGGAAAACTCTCTTGATCAATATGAAATATGCCCAATAACTACTTTTTAAGAAAAAGCCTCCTTCACCTCAGGTCTTAGGTAAAAAAATAAATAAATAAATTTGAAGTATTTATATCAAAACTAAAGGCAAATCAGGAAACCTGAGAGATGATGTTTATGGTAACGACGGACGACCCGCTTTTGCAACAATAGGGTTTTTTGTGGTTAAAAGAAACAAACATTTTTTTTTAATTATTTTAACTTATGAAACAATTTTGAATTTTAAAAATGCAAACGAGAAAAAAATAATTTACAAAACAAAAACAAAAAACGATTATCAAGTGTCAACTCATTTTTCCTCTTAAACGATTCGTTGCAATTTGGTCACATAATCTTTGCTTTTCCTGACTTCTTTTAGGAAACGAATGTAATAAAGCAGATCATCTCTTCGAAGGAATTAGTAACACTGCCAGTAAGAAGAGTTTCCTTTTACTTTAAATCAGTGATTTTTCTTTTTTTCTCTCTCTCTCTATGACCCTCAAAATGTGTTACTGATGTAAGTTATGCTGTCGGAAACATAGTACTGATATATATTTTTAAATATATATAATTAAACAAAGGCTAGGTTGAAGAAAGAAACTAAGAAAGTAGTCTGCGTTATTGTTAGACAAATCATATTTACTGGCATGAGAGAGAAAGGCATGTTTGTGTTGTAGAAACATGAAGATCTGAGTCATCCTACACTACCAGGAGCGAATTCTACTCTCCCTCTCTCCCCAGGTTTTAGTCTGGGGATGAGTGTTTAAAAATACAGTAGAAAGATAACCGAGGCTCTAAAAGCAATTTTAATCAGAGCGTTATTTAAAAAGTAAATATTTCAAATAAATAATTTTTTTTCATAATTTGTCCTATACACACAAATATTCTTTTTTTTAAATATGAGCGGGAAAATATTTCTTTAAATTAAAATTGGTAATTAAAATCAATTATATCTCTACCCTAAACGCATTTGTTGGTAACTGAAAAAACGTTTTGGAAAAATTATGAAATTTGTTGCTTTCTCGATATTTAAATGCTTGTCATAATGAACATGCATGTATTTTCCAAGACAGTTTTTCTTTTTCAGTGATAAAAGAAAATTTAGTGTTGTTTTTAGGGATATATTTTTAATTAATTCATCAGTCGGTATTTATTTATTTATTTATCCTCTCTTGTGGTTTTTGTGGTCTATTTACGAAATAGCTGTCAAAAGTTTTAAATAAGACGTAAATCAATGTGGAATTCTTTTTTAATTTTCCAAATTAAAGAGTAAAATACTAAAAATTAAAATACAAGTAGTTAAACTTCCCTATGTATATTTGAACGTCACCAGGTGCGTTGTGAGCAGGAAGTTTTAGGATATTTTTTTTCCGTCTTGACAAAATTCGTCTTAACTCTTTCTTAGAGAAGCCAGCAAAAACGTTCGTTGTGTCTGCCCTCATCAAACAAGTTAAGAATCATTAATAGTGTCATTTTGACTTGATTCTCTATAGTTCATTTTTCGATCTTTTCTTTACTACTACTACTACAACACTTACCACTTCTCACTTCCTCAGTCTTTTTGTCTTTCCTCCTTTCCTTTCTTATTAACGTACGCCCTCAATCATTACAGGATTTCTCCCCCCCTCCTCCTCCTCCTCTTCCTTTCTCTTTGTTTATTTCCTTTCTTCCTTGATTATGTCAAATATTTGTTTTCTTTCCTTCCAATGACCTTTCGGAATAGTTTCCCTTAATACTCTTTTCACTTTTGCTTTCTTTCTACTATCTTCCGGCCATTCTAAATTATTTTCTTTCTTTGCCTACCAAGTTAAAAAGAAAATAGGCCAATACTTTATTCGTACCATATCACAGAAACGCCCTTAAAAGACAAAAGTTTTTTTTTTCTAATTTTTCTTTTCTTTTAACAGCATGGATTGATATCATTTTATCGAGGACACACCCCAAAAACAGACTGCCAGAGGCAAAAGTTGGTTATTTGGATTCATTTTTTGGTAACCACGAATATTACCGACTTATAGTTTCTGAGAGAAAAGCTTCACAAATATTGAGCTATACTGCTACAACACTATAGAGTTTGATATTTTGTTTTTATTTTTAATTTGAAAAATAAAATACTAACATGAGAAAAAGCTGAAAAGTGAAAACGTGTTCATTTTGTGGATATAATTAAAAAATAAGTTAATTAACAATATCATAAATAAATCTCTTTATTTAATACTTTTTTAGCCTCAGGATTGTGACAAAAAAGTAAAAGTTACTTCATCGTTAACCCGCTTAAAAAACATTTAAAGACGAAGTCTACTTTTTCGTTATTCATTCATTCATTTCATTTGATACAGCCTTTAGTTTAAAAAAAAAAAAAAGAAAGAAAGAAAAAAAAACTTTAATGCTGTTAGTGTTTCTGTTTACCTTACATAATCTTTACCAAATGTTGACCTGACCTAAACTAAAATTATTTCCACATTTTCTTAATTTTTTCCCCTCATAATTGTCTTTTTAAACTATTCTTTTTTCTTCTTCCTTCGGGAAAAACTGAAAAAGCAACTTTTCCGCTTAAAATCAAAACTAGAAAAAAAAAGTTTTTTAAACAGTTGAAATAAATTCTCTTCTCTGTCTAGTAATAAAAAAAAAGAAAAGAAAAAGTTTTATCGTCAAAATTTTTAAGAGGAAAGACCAAAGTGTTTTTTTTTTTTTTTGTTTGTTTTTTTTTTTTTTTTAATTATCTAATTATATGTTTTCTTTTATTTAGAACATTAAAAACTTTTAGTTAAAAATCTTGTTTTACTTACGTCAGCGGATAGACGATAAATTTAAATTACGGTAGCAAATTCTAGCGTCTTTTTTGCGGTGAAAAAAGATTGATTTAGATTTTAGAAATTCTTGCAAAAATCAAATAATAGTCGCATTTTAACGAAACTCTCAGTGTTTATTCACAAATGAATTAAATTATTTTAGAAAGGGTTCCTTTAAAGTTTAGAAAATCTTGGTAAAAATATTTCTTTTTTATGTCTTACAGTTACACTCCACTTACTACATTTTATGAAAACTCGTGAAATTCAACGAGATAATTTTTAGTGACACAGAACTAACAGGAAAGTTTAAAATTTAAATCATCACTTTTTTTTTTTTTTTTTTTTGTAAGATCGGACTCCGTTTTACCGAAAATCTACTCTGAATCGTAAAATTAAAAAAACACAATAAAAATAAGATATTAATTAGAAAAGCTTTTAATTGTTTTTATGAATAAAATATATATACATTTTTTTTTTTCGATGTATAATAAATTTTTTCAAGATTTGTATTCATTTTTTTTAAAATAGAATTTTTTTTATTAAAATAATCTATAAAGTTTAAATCTTTTAAAATTCATTTTCGCTGGTGTAAAAAGGTTAAAGAATATTGTTATTAAGTAAAACCATATTTACTAATCATATATCGAAAAGATTATTACAATCTGTGGTATCAAGTAATTTTTTTTATTTATTTATTTATTTTTTTTTTGTATTTATATAAAAGTGACGATTTTTGTAGATGTGAGTGTTCATACACGACATTATTAAAAAATTAGATCGATAACTATATAGTAAATTTAAAGCCAAAGTATCTAACATTAAATAAAACATTTAAATTACGGAGAATATTTTTCCTAAATTTTTAAGATTATTACAGAATAATTAAAAATTATATGTAAAAGTCGCTCGCGTTATACTACATTATTTTTTTCGACAACATCGAACAATATATGCATCATTGTGCCATCAATCTGTCAAACATGTCAACAGCTTAAATAAACAGCTATTGCTGCGCTAAAATAAGCATTTATGCGATATTTTAAACTTAAAGTAAATAATATTTATTTCAACAGATTAATTATACTTTAACTCAGCTAATATTCTTCAAATAAAGTTTCAGAAAAGTATATTTTATTTTTGGAATACTTTTTAGTAAAGAGAATTACAATGAAAAGACGAAAGGCTAAAAATGGTGCTAAATTAAAAAAACAAAAAAACAACTTTCAGCCATTTCAAAATGGAAACTCCTAATCAAGTTAAATTAGTTTTGAAATATAGAAAAGTATTTTGCTTATTGCAAATATTAGATTTAACCTCTTAGCTTGAAATTAAAACTAAAATAAAAGCGTCCAAAAAGATTTTTCATTTTCAAATATTCATTTTAAACTGTGGTGCGTGCGAAATAATCCCTTCACTCACTCCCTTCAAATTCGGATGAGCTTAGGAATAAGAAGGAAAGGAATTCTTGAGCCTATGTGAAATTGTTTTTAGACCAATGAAAACCTTGCCTTCACAGAAATTAGCAGGTCCTCCAAGAAGAAAAGGAAAGTAGCAAGTCTATGCGAAATTCTTTTTTATATAAAAATGAAGAGAAAAATTATTGAGAAAGGGATGTCAAGAAGTCATATGAAAGGTTTCGTTTCTGTTCATCGCAGCCAGTGTTGAAGTTTTTGCCAGTGTAAAATTATTCGCCAATTATACGAGGCACTTCAAGGAATATCCTCAGCATGGGGCACTTCAAGGAATATTCTCTCAACAATCCAAGAAAGCTAAAAATTTCAAACTATCTCTCTTCGTCTACTTTTGAACGTATTCAAAGTCATATGTCCCTTCGATAGACAACGAACTCTCTCAGCAATGTTTTAAACATTTTTTAACATTATTTTGTGCCAGATCATTTAATCTGTTGTATGAACATTTCCTCTTTATGATAATACGTTAAAACTACGGAATTTAAAAATTCTTATTTATTTTTTTGAAACGAGCTACTGACACTATTTCAAGCGTGTAAATTCGTGAATAAATTCCATGTTTTATTTTATTTTTTGTTAAATTACCCGTGTGTTTCTTCGTCATTACCATCTTTCATTAATCTTCTTGGCGTGGGTAAATCAACTGTTCACTTTAACCTCTAAGCCCCACGCCACTATAAAACCTCAGGTATTGCGAAGCTGTGGGGGTACCTATTTCTTTTTTTCAATATTCAAGAGCCAAGATGAGTATAATAATCCGAATGGAAAGGTATAGATAAAAAATCCATTGATACTGAATTATGTCAAATAGGATCTTCTAAGGAATATTGAGATGCGAATTTAAATGTTGTCGAAAACTAATTACGCAACAGAGCAAAGGGTGTTTCATTAAGACGGATTATATATGAAGATGTTTTCTTAAGACGGATCAAAGTCAGCAGTAAATAAATCAGTGTTATTGGTGAAAATTTATTTATTTCTCTATTGGATCATGTTATTTAAGTCGTGGTAATTATATGTAAAAAATAATATCGCTCGAATATCCGCCAAATCTGAAAGAAAAAGAAAAAAATCATTAGACGCTTAAAATTAATTCACATTTAAAATTGGTCCAAGTTATTGGAAAACCCTTTAGTTACCAAAATATTACTCCTTCAATTATTACAAATTAAATAAGATTGCTCTTTTTAGTATTTACTTTATTTATTAGAATATTATTTCAATTCATTATTATTATAATTTAAATATGCTTTTTACTAAATTAAAATATTTATTTAATTATTTTAATTTAAATGACTTTTTATTAAATACATTATTTGCATCTTTTCTGTTAATACACACCAAAATATTAATTCACCCCAAAATAAAAAGAATTTATATTTACTAAAATTTTCACTAAATTCTACCAGAACGAGACCC